ATGTCAAACTGAGGTGGTTAAACATAGTGGAATCACAGTGGTGGAAAAGGTCCTTTGATATTTGTAAAAGAGTGGGATGATAAAGGAGAGGGGAAGAACCCCCAGATTCAGGCTACACTGCATGAGAGAGTTGGATCTTGTTTCGCATTTAATCCTATTCAGTTCTCTCTCCTCTCTTTACAAACAAGAGTGATGTTCCCAGTTGTGTGGTTTGGGGAATTTAATAGTTTTTGAGGGTGCCTAGAAAATACTGTAAATGAATGGGGGAAAAAGGAAAAAATGTATCGTTTGTTCACATTGCACAGATGCTAAGTTCATAGCTAAAGTTAAAAAAAACCCCTAATGTTGATTTGATTTGTGACTAACTTAGCTGTTAAATTGCTATTTTCTGGTTTGCACTATGATGATACTTGCTAATAATGTCAGACAGTTATATTTTGATGTAAGCTCACATAGTTATGATGCCTTAATTAAAAGTTTGGAAATAAAAGAAGCTACTGGGCTATGTACAGTTTTTGTAACTTGAAATGTTTTTAATGAGATTCATAATGAAATAGATTTAAAAAACATCCAAATGCTATCCTTGTATTCGAATAACTCTGCCAGTATAGTATGTTAGTGTGAAGTTCCAACACATTTTTATCCTGATGGCTTTTCTGGTGATTTTATTTTAGCGGTATAGTTTTTACTTCTTGATCATGAATTTAGTTTCTGTGAAGGCCAAGAGGTGGAAACCCTCTATTATTCCAGCAGCACACAGGACTTTCTCCACTGCTGTATCAGGAAATCTCAAGTAACAGTTTTATGATGTATGAGGATATTATTCTCTGCAAGCAGTAACACGCATTTCTATTTCCCCAGCAATATCCACATAATCAAGCATTCACAAGTGCTTTACAAAGAATTTAATTAAATAGTGTGCAGAGTAACTGGATGCAGCATGCAGACAAACTGTTGTATATTCAGTAGTTCACATTTTGCAGTTAGTGCAGAACACTTTTGAGCAGTAATACGTGTGAATGATATTTCTATCAAAATGTGCATCATCATCCCTCCTTTTGTACCTTGCTACTTAAAAATGACACTAAAACCTTAACACATATCACCTCCAGGAGCACAGAATACCTTCTTCAGTGCTCTAATGGTGTGATAAACAGAGGGAAGTACAAATTCTCATGGTGAAATTTGGACATTGTTCATCTGAAATCAAACGTTTATGACTCCCCAGAGAAAGATATAGATTATTGTACTTTTACCACAAAATTAGGCTTGTTTGGAATTTTATTGAAAGGTAGTAGAAATTTGTGGAGTAAACAAGACCAGCCACTACAGAATTTAATTTCTAAATTAGCACCGAGACTTACACATTCAGAGTTTAGACATGGAAAATGACAAGCAAAATATCTTTCATTTTGTCATAATAAGTACGTTCAAAGTCCATTCTGTCTCTCACTGGAGATTAAAAAAGTCTCTGGCATTTAAATGCAGTGCATCAGACCCTGCACTAGGAAAAGGTAGGAGTGTGTTCATATGTTGTAGTGTATTTCTTCATTCAGCATTATTGGTATGCTCATGTCACCTGCAAAGATTAGTATTCTGGAAACCAACAGGGTTATCTATTATGTTTTGTCTGTTCAGAAAAGCCCTTTAAGCATTAACTGAAGCTGCATGAGAGGAGTTTCCAGGCTTGCAGAACAATGGGGCTGCGTTGGATAAAAGTAATTTAGAATATCCCTCTGCGATTGTCTACCTGCAAGGCAGTTAGCCGTCCATCAGACTGGAGGGTTTTATTGGTATGTCAGTGCTATCAAGTATCAGTCTAAACCAGCAGACCACTACCAATGACACAAGTAGTGAAAGACAGTCTATAATTAGCCTGTAAAGGTATTCAGTATGAGACCTCACCCTAGTTTTCCAGTTCCACAGAGTTATTCCCGTTTATTACTGGCTGACACTTACAAAATCTGTCTGTTACGACTGGCAAGAAAGACCAAAACCTACAAATGAATCTAAAGGAGAGAAAAGAAACAAAAGGATTAGTGACAATTAGGAAACTCTTTTTTACTTTCATGCTAGTTCTATTTAGGTGTCACTTTGCTTATTTGAGGGGAATTGCTGAAAATAAAATTGGTGTAAATAAGAACAGTCTCCCTGTATTATTCTTCTGAAGATGCCTTTTGGAGGAAAGTTTAATTGCTGTAGAAGAAGTTGCAGCTTTATTTACAGAGTTGAGAATGGGAGAGATCCCTATTTAATGTTAATGAAGATTTGCTAAATTCAGTGATTTAACCCAGTAGCCTTTGTGTCCTTTATTTTCATCCTTAACCCTTCTTCATATAGCAGACAGGAGTTCTTAATTTTGCATGTCATTTATAATAAATTGTAGTTATTTAAAAAAAATAGTACAGTTAGAGCTTCAATTGAAGAAAGGGAAAGCATGTAATATTGTATTTATTCATATGTTGAATCTTGAACACCATGTTTTGGATTTTTGCTTTATTTAATTAGGCTCTTGTTCTAGTGTCTGCCTTTATATAAAATATTTATTCTTTACCATTTGTAGTACATTTCTGTTTGCAATTTGGATGTTTTCAGTTTGCTTGTATTCCGAAGTAGTTGCTAGACTCTCTCTGTGCTTCCACTAGAAGGCTGGTATTTTTATGCTTCTTGCAGCAGGCCCTTTTTGGGAGTGCTGAAATATATCCAAGTTCTCCATTCCTGATATTTCAGTGGCAACTTCCTGTGAATCCTGAAGTAGAGCTCCTGCTGTCAGGTTGTTCTCCAAGCCAATTCTACCACACATATCAGCAAGCCAGAATAGACGAACTTGGAGGAGATGTCAGTGCTGTGATATAATTCAGAGTATTATTTAGAATAAGCATGTCAGAATTTTAATTCTTCAGGTTAGGAAGTCAACCCAGAGACCTTTTATCTACTCAGTGAAGTACTACCTAGATATACTTGTGTTAACTGCAGATGAACTAGCTTTGGAACCAGAAGTAATACAGCCAAATGAGAGGAGTGTGGCAGCCAGGCTAATTAATTAAGAAGCCAGGCTAATTAGTTTGACTGGAGGGAGCACCATGCTGATGTGGCAGTGTAGCTTCCAAGATTCTGGCTGATTTGTACACAGATTGCACTGGGCTTCTTGCAGACATACGAGTTATTTCTGGGTTCTTTCAGATGTTTTTGCCATGAACCAGCATTGTATATTGGTTTATTCCCTATGTCAATTTACTGTAATTTTAGATTTACTTCCAGACTGATAGTCAATTTTAGTTCTTTCTCAGTCTTCTGCAGTAAGATTGCAGTGGGATTGAGTGCATCCTCAGCAAGTTTGCTGACACCACCTATCTGTGTGGCGCAGCTGACAAGCTGGAGGGCAGGGATGCGCCATCCAGAGGGACCTGGACAGGCTTGAGAGGTGGGGCTGTGCAAACCTCAGGAAGTTCAACAAGGCCAAGTGCAAGGTCCTGCACATGGGTTGGGGCAATCCCAAGCACAAATACAGGCTGGGTGATGAGTAGATTGGGAGCAGCCTCATGGAGAAGGATGTGGTGGTACTAGTGGATGAAAAACGGGCGATGAGCCATCAAGGTGCACTTGCAGCCCAGAAAGACAACCATATTCTGGGCTGCATCAAAGGTGTGGTTAGCAGGTCGAGGGAGGTGGTTCTTCCCCTCTACTCTGCTCTTGTCAGACCCCATCTGGAGTACTGTGTTCAGCTCTAGGACGTAGACAAGTCCAGAGGAGGCCACAAAGATGAATGGGGGGCTGAAGAACCTCCCTTATCTGGACAGGCTGAGAGAGTTGAGGTTGTTCATCCTGGAGAAGAGAAGGCTCTGGGGAGGCTTTATAGCAGCCTTCCAGTACTTAAAGGGAGCCTACAGGAAAGATGGGGAGGGACTCTTTATCAGGGAGTGCAGTGATAGCGTGAGGGGTAATGGCTTTAAACTGAAATAGGGTAGATTTAGATTAGCTTTGAGGAAGACATTTTTTACTGTGAGGGTGATGAGACACTGGAACAGGTTTCCCAGAGAAGCTGTGGCTGCCCCCTCCCTGGCAGTGTTCAAGGCCAGGTTGGACAGGGTGTTGAGCGACCTGGTCTAGTGGAAAGTGTCCCTGCTTATTGCAGAGGAGTTGGAACTAGATGACCTTTAAAGTCCCTTCCAAGCCAAAACCATTCTAAAAAAAAAAAAGATTTTTCTAATGCATGGATAGACATTTTAATATTGTCATGTCCAACCTCATACCACTGAGAGAAATTCTTCACTGCTTTTTTTTACCTGGTGAAGGACCTTCCCATCATCTTCCCAATATTTTGTCACTTACTGAATACAAAACTGATATAATACTTCTGAAGGTGTGTATGGCAGCATTGTTCCAGCCTGTTGGGCTGAGAGGTGGCTGTCAGCAGTCCTGTTCTCAGAGGATGCATGCTACCAATAGTGGATGCTGCAAGACGCCTTTTTTGTAAGAACTGGTGGTTCTGAACAGTTTGCCATCTTTCTGGTTGTTATGAAACAGTTATTTCTTCAGTGCTCCCCTTAATGTTAGTCCTTGTATACAGTTTGATGTACAGGATGTTCATAAAGGAGTCACTTTAATGAAAAGGTAAAAAATACTTGTGGTAACAGTCTGTGTGACTACATGGATGTGGTACAGTAAACATGAGAAGCAGTATCAAACCCAGAAGTATAATAAATCAACAAGGTATTGTAAATAAGGTGGATTCTGCATAGAAAACTTCAATTAGAAGTACAAAGTACTGTGTTACAGCCATACCATGGTAATTATGTGTGAACAGATAGTGACATAAGATTAAAAAATGCGTATTTTATTAATGTTTTCTAAATAACACTGAGAGCTGGAATTAAGTTTTGTTTTTTACATGTATGTTATTTAAAATGCTTTTAGTGATCATTTATGGCCTTACTTGCAATAGCTGTTCAGCATAGTAGCTCCCACAAGGAGTTAACGTATATTTTTTCTATTTCTAGATCTGTTAGCTGTGCCTAAGCATCCATATGCTGCTATGGAGAACTGGGGACTGAGTGTTTTTGTGGAGCAAAGGATACTGCTAGATCCAAGCATTTCTTCTATATCATACCTCCTGGATGTCACCATGGTCATTGTACATGAGCTATGTCATCAGGTATTAAAGGTGTTCAGATGTTTGATGTTAATGTCAGAAACCATCCGGATGTTCCTTTTCAAAACTCAAAATGAATTTGTGTTGTTCACATAGACAGTTGCAACTTTTATTGTAACTGGAGTCCAAACAATACGGAGATCTGTAAGACATCTCTACAGTGCAGAAACTGGGAGGACTCAAAATGAGGATAGAAGAGAAAATTAGTAGCAATGAACTACTTCCCTATCTTCTTTATGATTATATGTTTCTGTGTGAGTGTGCTGTTGGCATGTAGAGTAATATAGAAAATGATTTATTTCGGAACTATAGCAAATTCATTCTGAGTTTCATGTTCATGTCAAAAAATATTTTGGCTGAAATCAGTTTGGTAGTCATCATCTTCTGCCGTCACATATGCACATCCTTCTGTTTTCTTTTTCTTTTTCTTTTTTTTAGATTTGGTGTTGACCCTCTGTTCACTATTGATGGATAAATGAGTCTTCATGTGTACAGCAACTTTTGTATCAATAAGAAAACTTTGTAAGAAACCCATATTACAATTTATTTTACATTTCTTCCATCTTCTTATCTCAAACTAAACACATTACAAGTGTTTAGTAAAACTGAGTTGAATTCAGATGTTATTGAAGAAATTTGCTCCAGGGGCAGGAAACCCTTTCTTGCACTCATAAGAGGCATAATCATAGCCTTCAGGTTAAAATGAATGAAATCCTACTGTGTAATCATCATGGCTTACATCTGTGACTTTACACAGTGTTCTTTAAAAGGCAATGCAAATTCTGCAAATAAAAAGGAGCATATAAAAGGGAGACTTTGTAATGGAGTTCTGGTAGATGAACCTGGTAATAATAATGTTTGGTTCATATTCATGTTTCACATTAAATCTGTTGAAGAGTATGAAGTCCTCAACTGCAACATGAAATTTTTATTGAAAGTTATTGCTGGTTTGTTCTCAATACGATCATCTGATTTTGTTATATGCTCTTTATTGTGCAATACAATAGAGTAGCACACTGTTCAACTAGAAAAATTACAGTGCCTTAGGAATCAGGTCTGGAAAACACATATTAGGTCATCAAATCCTGGCTTCTGTTAGTATTAGATCCTTTCGTGTGGTGTGTTTTGTAGTGCTGGGTTCAGTGCTTCTGGTTACAGGGTTATGCCACTTTCCTTAAAACCTTTTGATTAAATCTGATGGTCAGTAACTTTTTCCTAGTGTTCAGCTTAAGTCTTCCTTTTTCTGAAGTTATTCTGTTGTTTCCAGTTACTCTTTCCACAACTTTAATATAATTTCCTCTGCCTCCAAAGGAATTTATACTTCAGATGGGGGCAATTATCATGTCAGCAACTTGCCAAGTTTGTTTATTTGATTCTCATTGAAACCAAAGCCTTTTTACATTGTTCCATGAATATCAGAGGATCATGAAGTGGGTGAAAACTATATTTGAATTTATTTTAGTGTAGCAATGCAGTCACAGAGTGCTTTTGACCTTAAAATTGCAAATGAGAAGGTGTACTTGTTGCCTGTGTTAGTATTACTTCCAGTGCTGTTCGCTTAATTAAAAGTATCTTCTTCCATTCATATTGCTGCTGTTTCTGTTTTAGTACCATGCAGATGAGGTCCTTGCTCAGCTGCTTCACTGGATAACTAGACAAGATAGAAAATATTCAGGTGGAAGAAATACTATTTCTACTTTTTAGATGCAGAATTGAGTCACAGAGAATATGGATTGTTCATCTGCAAATGAAGTTTAAAGGGAGAAACTCTTCAGAAAATACAAGCCATAAAGCACTTTCTAGCACCTCCATCACAGTATTGTCTTTAGCCATTTTTTTCTGCTTTTATTTTACCGTATTTGGAAGCCCCTCAAGGAAACTATCTGTGGATAGCACAGAGCAGGAACTGTAAACAATACTAGTTTAGCTGAAGATGTATTGACCTGAGACCAGCTTGGGTCCAGGATCTCTTGCCTCGCTATTTAATTGTTAATTATTCATTGCATTTTTCATCCTTTTTTGCTGTGCATCATCTTCCCTGCTAACCTGGGGTGGCACATAGTACACATAGAATAATTGAGATTAACCAAAATAACTTTTGGCGTAGCCAGAAGTAGAATTCACGTCTCTAGTTCTACTTTTTATTTATTGATTTTTTAAAAATTTCAGGTAAGAGGAAAAGGAACTCTCCTTAAATATGGTTTCCTGAAATACATTTTTGCTTTGTGTGAAGAATTGTATCATTGCCCTATTTCACCTGATTTTAAACCCATGATTTTAAGACTTGCAGAACATATCTGAGCATGTAGCAAACTGATCTGTATGAAACTCTTGTTAATTAGAGTAACACAGCAACTGCTTTGCTAATGTTGTTCCCAAGATTAGAAAAAAATCAAATAAATATTAAGAATTGGCATTGTTACCTTTAGATAGGACTGTTTAAAATTGGAATTCCCAAATCTGGTGGGTATTAATGCTTGAGCACAGTGTTCAGGACAGGTTGAAAATGGAAGACAGCATTGCAGAATAACTTAAGAAATTCTGTGGTTGTGAAAATATGGGTAAAAAGTGTATAAGGAAGAATTTTATGCCCAGTTTCTTCACAGTTGATTTTGAAATGCTTGTCCGGGTATTTATTTTAGGTGTATGTTATAGGAGGGACACATTAAAGTTACAAAGGTGGCTTTAATTTAGTTATTTTGTAGGTTGCTAGTGTCTGATGTTTTAGCTTGAGTGTTGTTTTAGAACGCCTTATGTATTTAATTGAAAAAAAAAAAAAAATTGGAAGGAGTGATTTGACATAAAAGCGTCTTCTCCAAGCCCCAAAACACAAATGAGATATTGGTCAAAACACATGTATTTCTAGCAGCTTAAGCTGATAGCTTGGAATAATTACCATAATCTATTAAAATAATTCTATTAAGCTAGTAATCAGTTTTATTTGTGTATCACAGATAAGTCCCCCCTACAGCCTTTGAAGGGTCATTTGAATTTATGCACCATGATTTTTTGTGATGGTTTTCCCATCTGAGCACAAAACTTGGTGTGAAAGATTGAGTTAGAGGCATGAAAGCAGAAGGAAAATAAAAAAACCCCTTCTGAATCAATGTTTTTTTAATAGTCTGTAAAGAAGGCATAAGGAAAGACTGTCCTTTCAGTGTGTCTGTAAAATAAGTGCCTTCTGTATGTCAGGCTGAACATAATACCTGAGGGAGATGATAAATTTATGTAATTGGTACGTTTCAATTAATTTTTCATTTTCAAAATGAAAAGAAGTAATGATCTTCACTCCAGGCAAATAGTGTCTATATTCAAATACACAAATAAATAAACAATTACTTAAATAAATTAAGTGCTATACTTAATTTTTTTCTTTCAGGCATGTAACACCTACAAAGATATTAGTACCTTTCTGCTGGAAAATCTGGCTTTATTAATTGCAGTCTCTGGGACTGCTCTGTCTCTGACATTTATAACTATCTCGGATACTATTCAAGACTAGTCAAGCAAATTTCCCTATATTTTGATATTGGTATCACATGCTGTTTTAATGCCTGTAAAACACTTCTTCCTTAAGGTGGATAATTAAATGATTAGTTTTAATGTATCATTAGTAAACAAACCCAGAATACTCACAAAGGAGTATAAGAAATCATCTTCTGTCACATCATAAATTAATGTTATTAATTCTTTTGAGTTACAGGAGGATATATTATGAACTTTATAACCTTTATTTTTTAAAATCTGTCTCTGAATAGTCATAGCATACCATGACTGTTACTGGTTTCATATTTGTTCAATAGTCCTCTTGTAATTCAAGAAATAAACTCTGTGCTGTTGTGTTTAGTCTGTTTGTCATTAGAAATCATTTAATCAACCTATTCTAGTATAAATATAGCTTTCATACTCCTCTGGTGGTATGCTACTCTAACATTTGAAATTGGGAAATGTGCATTATCTATATGAATGCAGTTCCAGTGTTTCTTTGTCTTTTCAATTAAATGTTCTTAAAATCAGGATCTATCTCTATTGGTAGGGAGTTAATTTATTGATAGCCTTCAACCAGATTGTGATCACTGAGTGTCCATTAAGTTTAGTTTCACTTAGTGTGTGAATATGACTTTTGTCAACCTCATCTTTTCTCCCTGAATTCTTAAGTTGTGTGTCAGTGCCATTCGTTGTGAAATTTTGCTTCATTCTTACGTTCTAATCCTATTTACTGATCATTGTGTGGCAATCTGGTAATCTGTTTCTGTAGTCTGTTCTTTGGAGCCCCTGTGTTCACTTCACTACAGATACTCATTGGAGCATTGATACTTCCTAGGTGCTGTTCTCACTCCACAAAGACATGCACAGAAACAAGACCTTTCATTCAAGTCCCAGACAAAGCCTTCAAATAAGAGACAGCCTTCAAGAAAGCAAACCTCTTACTGGCCAGCTCCGCATTCATTCATTCCCCACTCTCGCTACAGTGTCAGCAGCAGCCCCTCTGCTCTGACATGAGTCTCTCCCTTCGTAATATTTATTTGGTGCTCCCTTTCTGTGTATTTTCAGAATTTACGACTCCATGAAAGCTAAAAATTATCTCTGTGGATTATGAACTAATCTAATTTCTAATCACATTAAAAAAAAAACAAACCCAAAACAACTGGCAGAGAATTTTCCTGAAACAAAGCTTTGGTGTCTGTTTGGAAAAAAGATGTTACAGAGAATACAAAATATGTTTTCATGATAGTGTATGTGTTTCTGTTCTTACCACTGGTGTTGTGACAATCCAAGTTGCACAGGGCCATTACAATCATTTAAACAGGGTCGTCCATTAGAAAAAGAATTGATGATGCCTGATTTCCTTTGAGTTTTTGTTCTCATTCCTCTTCAGTGATAATCCCAGTTCTGTCTAAAATCCCTGTAACACTCACATGTCCTGTACTGTGACAGGTTTGAGGCTGTTGATGGCTACTGAGCAGAGTATCTAATGGCCATATTCTTGCTTTGACCTCAGTTTAGGTCCTTCTCCTTTTTTCAGCTACTGATCTTCATGTACTTTTATAAGAGTTTAATTGTCTTTGAGATCTCTGCCATTCTTTCTAAATTAGACTGAAGTCAGTGAGGAAATTCAAGAGCGACCTGGGGGGGAATGGGAAAGACAGTCATCTCAGGTAGGGTTCCTTTGCATAAACATGAGAGGCCTGTGCCATTTTAGATACCCTCTGCCTCTGGTTGATGTTCGGGAAGGCTTCTGTTACCCCTGTATGAAATTTCTGAGGCCTGTGTGGGTAACTCACATACCCTAGGATGTTCTTTAAGTGGCCTTAACTACTTGCTTTTAGGCATCTGAGTCCTTCTCACAGAGAGAGATGGCGTAATTGTATAAAACTGCTTTCCTCAGGGAACCAGCCAATGAACGGAGCATCAGTAGTATTGTAAATCTTAGTGGGCAGACTTTGTGGAGGAAGAAATGATAAAATTTAGGCCTGGGATATGGAGACGGTGTTCCCAGTTTTTCAAGATTAGCACTATACATCGTGAGGTTTCCAGGTAATGAATCACATTACTCAAGTTAGAAGCCTTATTCTGTCCATTGTGTATGTTACTCCCTTAAATCTACATGAGCATCTACTTTAGATGACTAAAGTAGACACTGCAAATTCTCTCTGCAACATTTCTTTTCCCTTGCTTGTGTTTTTCTAATGTTTTGCTTCAGTAACTTGTGCATCCTGTGAAGGCTTAATTCATTAGTACACGAAAAAGTAGTTAATGAGTTTCAATGGGTGGTCTATATACTATTGTTTTTATTAAACCTTGTGAGAGAATGTATCCTGTATAAATAAGATGGATGCAAACATGGTTTCCTAAATGTTGTTTATTTGAACTTTCTTTGCAGTGGTTTGGTGACCTTGTGACTCCAGTTTGGTGGGAGGATGTGTGGTTGAAAGAGGGTTTTGCTCACTATTTTGAATTTGTTGGGACAGACTACCTCTACCCAGGGTGGAATATGGTAAGTCAGTTTTATTTTGTTATTTTGTTTATTTTGTTATTTGCTGTTATACTCTTGCTTTTGTTATAGGCAGGGATTGCTGGAAAATATCAAATGATGCATGCAAATATCAGATGTCCAATGAAGCAAAATCACTAGGTGTGAAATAATTTGACAGCATTCCAGAAGTGTAATCTGCAATTTATTACAAAAGAAATAAGGCCATGTCTATCATAACCCAACATTAAAGTAACTACTGTCTCTCTGCTCAGAAACATTTTAGATTAAAGCGGTTATGATTTAACATGGACCATTTTTGAAAATATTTAGAATATTGAATTTTATCCAGAAACACAAGCTAAATTGGAAAGAAATGTTTGGATAAAACATATTGTAAAACTGAGCATATTTTTTTCTTACAGTATTCTGTTCTCCTTTCTCCAAGTTTACTCTTTTTATCTTCCTGCTATTATTTGGCCACTACATGTACATACTAAAGTAACATGGGGTAAATGAATTGAGAGTCTAGGTTTCAGTATGATTTTCAGCTGTACACAGTAGGACATGTTTTGCCAACTGGTGTGCAAATACTGAAGCTGTCTGAGGGCAAACTGGGAAGGTCATGCTGGGACATTGTTTTGGAGTCCTTGCATTGTATCATATCATACCTAGTCAGGTCCTAGTTTATATCAACCGCTGTAGTCTGGAAATATGATGCTTATAAGAAAAATAAGAGATATGAGACCTTATGACAAGGAAATTGGGTGTGAGACCATGTTGAATGTTGCTATATAGATTTTATTGTCCATTGGAGAAATTTTTGTATTTATTATCCTTTTGTGTTTACATATGTTTAATTTTGTGGCAAAATATTTGTTATAAATGCAGATTGCCTGATAGACATGTGCTGTAGTTTGAATGTTCTGCTTAAACTCTTGCATACTAACTTCTGGAATGTTTGTTCCCATTTCTGGGTAATTTCTTGAGTATTCTTATCCCATTAACTTTTGTGTGCCATAAAATGAAGATGTCGTAATTATGAGGTAAAGCTAATTTTTAAAAATAGTTGTATACAGGTACTCTGACTTTAGGTTTGCTTCTTGTGAAATTTGAATTCTTTGCAGTATTTTAATTTTTTTCTTTCAGGTGTCAATTTTGGTTTATAATTGCATTATGAAAAGGAAAATAAATCTGTATCTGAACTGACATCTGTCTTGCATAGGTAGGCTTGTTGGGTTTACCTGGCTTTGGATGTATTAAAACTCATTCTCTTCATCTTTATGAAAAACACATCCTGAATTACAATGTAATGATTCTAATTATGAATGCAATGAAATCTGGCAGGCCTTTATGATTTTAGCATAGTGAAATGTCAGAGATGACAACGTTTATACACTGAATTTTATCTTCAAATCATCAGTCATTTGTTCTTTGCATAATCAGTTTAACAAATCCAGAATAACTTTGCTTTAGAAGTCATTTGGAATGTAGAGTATTTGCTTGAAGTTTCTATGGAATGAATATAATGTTCACTGTTATGCAAATGACATGCCCATCACGTGAAATCCCGGCATTTTAGCAGAATATAGGCAAAACGAATGGGTTGAACAAGGTATGACAGTTAAACTGGAAAATCAGACACGTGCTGCATAAATTAGAATTAACTACAGTAATATTGCTGTGCCTGAAAAAATATTAATCTGTCAAGTTTTTCCTTAAATTAAAAAGAAGGTAAACATAAACTTTTCATAAGGCTTTGGATATCATTGGCCTCTGATATAAAAATACTATACTGACATATTTAAATAATTAGAAAATTGGTAGCAAAATGGAACACTTGATGAGTTAAACATTTAAACATGCTGCATTCTTTTGCAGACTAGAGTAGGAATCAATACTATGACGTTTCAGCCTTATTACAGAGATTGTAGGAAGAAGAAGCAAAGTTACAGGCACTGGAGTTTGTCTTGCTGGATATTTTTGTTACCAGTATAAAGTGCATTTCCTGCTTAGATCATACTGACATTTGTAAACTTGAAAAAATAAAAAGTGAGCATTTGTAACAAGAAAAACTGTTCCAAACTTTTTTTTTTTTTTTTTTTTTAAGTGAAGGATACAGTACAAGCTTCATCAATTGTTTACAAAAACAAGAACTACAAACCTTATCGTCTGTAATGATGGTTAAACAGAGCAATATTCCAGCATTTTGTGTGGTGTTTTGCCAGCAGTAATTCATACCTACGAAATAAAAATAAAAGATACGGTGGTGTATAATACCATAGCTCTTTGCTTCAGGAAAACAGAGTAATATGCCAAAATCCTCTTTCTTTCTAAAGAATTGGGAAAATTAGACAGTTAAATTCTTTCTCTTGTAGTTCCAAGATATGTTACCCTTGAAAGTTTCCTCAAGAAGCCTGTGGACTAAAATGTCAAATTCAGCTTATTTTCACCTTATTAAAGACTTTTTTGTCACATTTTCTTTTGGATAAGCATAGAATCAGAAGGCTGGTAGTCAGTTCCAGAAAAAGGTCTTTTGTCTGGATATGCATCTTGGGCAGTATGGATACATCTGAATCAAATGGATCTATCCACAGCTTTCTACCTAACTTGTTGGATGCTTGTAGGCTACAGGCACATGACCTTTCACCATTAAAGCTCCATAAAGCCCTAAAGTTTTGCTACTATTTGTCTAAAGATGCTTCTCTTTTAGCAGAGCTGGGCATTTTTCAGTGTGCATCTTATTTGACATTCACAGACTTGTTATGCCTGAACCTGAGACTCTTGAGGAGGGCTATCCATTAGGCATGTTCACACCATTATAACTTAAACCAACAGCACTGAGATCTGCACAAAGCAGAGCGCCATGTGTTTTGTCTGAAAGCTGTTTTCTGGCTTTCGTTTTTTCTCTTAGGTTCTTTATCTTGCTTAAAAATTTATTCCTCTGCTGAGTTTCTTGATTTTATCAGGCTCTTCTTTTACCGCAGGACAGATGGATGGATAACAGTATTGACTGAACTGCCATGGAGCTGTAACACTTTATTGAGCATTCCACCAAGTCTAGAATTTGTTGTCTTGTCTAGAAGGTGTTTACATACTTCATCAGGCTTGCATAATCTTCATGAGAAAAGAAATCTATTCCTTATTAAACCCTTGATGTCCTTATGCCCTGGGTTCTCCTATTAAAATCTTGGGTGAAGAACAGAACAAAGAGTCATTCTGATGGAGGAGTCCATTATCCATTGCAGTTAAAACAAGATGCATCAGAACTCTCCCAGTGAAGTGGACAAAGTTTTGGTGGTTTTAAGAAAGGAATGTAAGATTTCTCTGCTGAGATCCTTCATGGTCCCACCACTAGACTTTATATTTTTTTCAAATTTTAAGTTACTCCAGATCAAAGCTAGAAATTCTCATTTCCTTCTCTCAGCTAAAAAATAAGTCCCTGCATGTTGCTTTTTACTTCCTGAAGGTAAAGCTACCTTTAATTTTTCAGGAAATATGTGCCTACTATACAGTCATTAGACATTTGCTATGGAAATGAATACACTATTCTTTCCATTTCAGCCTCTTTCACAGCCTAGCCCCCAAAATGAAGAGTTTATTGAAATTCTTATTCTGAAATGACTCAAATTCTTATTTTAAAATCTCATTCTTCAAGGTCTTGGAAGGTTAAACAATTGTTTCTATGTTGTTGGGATGGTTTTAAAAAGAAAGCTGGTTCTGCAAACTCTTCCACCCATGGATCAGAGAATTTCACTTGATCATGTGTGCTCTGAGTAGTAGAGGAGCTAGTCAGCGACCTGCTGCGTCACACAGACACACACAAGTCTATGGGACCGGATGGGATACACCCGAGGGTGCTGAAGGAGCTGGCTGGGGTGCTCACCAAGCCGCTTTCCATCATTTACCAGCAGTCCTGGCTGACAGGGGAGGTCCTGACAGATTGGAAATTGGCCAATGTGACGCCCATCTATAAGAAGGGTTGGAAGGATGATCCTGGAAATTACAGGCCTGTCAGCTTGGCTTTGGTGCCTGGGAAGCTGATGGAGCAGCTCATCCTGAGTGCCATCACACAACACATGTGGGACAACCAGATGCTCAGGCCCAGTCAGCATGGGTTTATGAAAGGCAGGTCCTGCCTGACAAACCTGATCTCCTTCTACGACAGAGTGACCTGCTTATTGGATGAGGGAAAGGCTGTGGATGTAATTTACCTTGACTTTAGTAAGGCCTTTGATAGCGTTTCCCACAGCATTCTCCTGGCAAAACTGGCTGCTCGAGGCTTGGATGGGCACACGCTTTGCTGGGTAAAAATCTGGCTGGAGGGCCGGGCCCAAAGAGTTGTGGTGAACGGAGTTAAATCTGGTTGGCGGCCGGTCACGAGTGGTGTCCCCCAGGGCTCGGTGTTGGGGCCGCTCCTGTTTAACATCTTTATTGATGATCTGGACAAGGGGATCGAGTGCACCCTCAGTCAGTTTGCAGATGACACCCAGTTGGGTGGGAGTGTTGATCTGCTCGAGGGTAGGGAGGCTCTGCAGAGAGACCTGGACAGGCTGGAGCCATGGGCTGAGGCCAACTGGAAGAGTTTCCATAAGGCCAAATGCCGGGGGCTGCCCTTGGGCCACAACAACCCCCAGCAGCGCTACAGGCTTGGGGAGGAGTGGCTGGAGAGCTGCCAGTCAGAGAGGGACCTGGGGGAGTTGACTGACAGCCAGCTGAACAGGAGCCAGCAGTGTGCCCAGGTGGCCAAGAAGGCCAATGGCATCCTGGCTTGTGTCAGCAATAGCGTGGCCAGCAGGGACAGGGAAGGGATCTGACCCCTGTACTCGGCACTGGGGAGGCCGCCCCTCGATTCCTGTGTTCAGTTTTGGGCCCCTCACTACAAAAAGGACATTGAATGACTCGAGCGTGTCCAGAGAAGGGCAACGGAGCTGGTGCAGGGTCTGGAGCACAGGTCGTACGGGGAGCGGCTGAGGGAACTGGGGGTGTTTAGTCTGGAGAAGAGGAGGCTGAGGGGAGACCTC